CATACATAGTAAACTAATTGTGTTTAGAGATTCCTAGAGCACCGACCTCGAATCAGAACATACATATAAATGTCTTACAAAGAATTAGTGCCGAAGAGTTGCTGATTCTTCAGAGAGCGATACAATTGGCTTAAAATTGACAGATCAAGACATATGTATCTATTCATAACACTGTCCTGCCATATATAAATTACTAGAACTATTTTGAGATAATGAATGACTCCCAATCCATACGGCCTACTACATTTTGATGGTTTTGCCCGTCTTGTTTGCTTGACCGTAACCGTTAAAACAATTTGAACAGTTAAATAATCGAAGCCGATACACCATCTCACAAGTTATTTGATAACTGTCACTGTCCAAATAAAAGGATGAATCTGGAAAATATTAAAGAGAATAGCGTAAGTTCTTTTAGAAGCCTGTCATCCGAAGTGAGTGGCATCTCTGTTACCATCATCGCTCACTCGCAAAATGCCAGCCATTTCGTACGACGTAATATCATGATATGTGAATGAACAAAATAATGGCCATTAAAACGTTTGTTCATAGTACTTACGGCTCCCAAGAACTAAACCAAACCCAGTAACAAAGCTGAAATACGAGGAAGCAAACGATGACAATATTCTATCAGATATTTTCACTGCTGTAGCCATCATTCATCGGATCATGATGAAAATAAACTGTCGACAAAGTGGACGAAGTTTCTATGACAATCACAGCTAACAGCTCATCTAATATTCCATGATTTCGCTAAAGCCTTTGACGTAAGACTACATGTACTTCACATCGAAAAGGTGTTAAACATGGATTTTAACGACCAACGTTTATCTTGGCTCCAAAACTACCAAGAAATCAGAATGTTTCGCATCGAGGTGAACAGAAACTCTACCCGTAGATTTTCTAGAGTTGCTGCCGGTCCCAAGCTCACACAAAGAGTGAGGGATGGACATATGGTCCGCATCCCCATCCAGCAGAAAAAATCTTACTAAAAAACGCCAACCAGAATAAATAAATAAAACCATTAAAACCCTGTCTTCCGAAGTGAAACAAGAGTTATGACGCCTCAGGATGAAAGCCGAAATTGTTTGAAAGTCACGAGGCTGACGCCCCTTCGAACTACTACAGCAACAATTTCTGTGGGTACATGAAACAGCCGGACAACATGAGAGACCGATAAGACCAGTGAAATAGCAACGGAAATGAGAAGATACAAATTGGCAGTACTAAAAATCAGCGAAACCCATTGGACCCAAGCTGGACAGCAAAGGCTAGATTCGGGATAGATGCTGCTGTATTCTGGTCATGAAGAGGAAAATGCTCCACATACTAAGGAAGTTGCTTTGATGCTGTCCAAAGAAGCACGAAATGTACTCACGGATCCAGGATCATCAAAGCAACCTACAAAACAAAGGAGGGAATCATGATGAATGTTATCCAATTTCATGCGCCCATCAATGATAGCAACGACGACAACAAATATCAGTTCTATGAGAGGCTGCAATCAGTCACAGAGAAGTGCCCAACCAAGGAAAAGACCTGATCATTCTGATGAGAGACCTAAATGCCAAAACCGGAATGGGCAACACCAGGTATGGAGATATCATGGGAAGAAATGGACTGACTTGGAAAAAGGAATGAGAATGGTAAGAGATTCGCAAATTTATATGTATTTAACAAAGTGGTTGTAGGCGGTACAATATTCCATCATAAACACATGCTCAAAGTTACATGGGTCTTTCTGGATCACACTACACAGAACCAGAGCGGTCACATTTACATCAACAAAACATTAAGAAGATCCATGGACGACGTGAGAACCAGGAGAGGAGCTAAAATAGCTTCATATCACCACCTAGAAAACAGCATTGTAAGGGTTAATTACAGCTTCCTTCGACATACTGACAAACTCAACGAATTCGAGATCGCTCACAACCACAGGTTCCAAGGCTTACAATATATTCTGGAAGGAAAAAAATAATACGGAGGACAATGGAAGATGATCGAAGTCACCAAGTTCAACGTCCTAGGGCGCACTAGGCCGCAAGAAGCACTACCATAAGGAATGGGTCTCCATGTAGAACTTGGACAAGTTTCAAGAAAGGAGGAACAAAAGGACGTCAATCAACAACGACCGAGCAAGAACAGAGAAAGTCAGGGCACAAGCTGAATACACAAAAGCAAACAAGTAAGTGAAGAGGAAGAAACTGCGAGAGAAGGATATGAGACAACTATATGACATAACGAAGGAGCTAACAGTGAAATATAATAATTCGTTTGTTTACTTATCTATAAGTGACATACAATAAACTATTAAACGTCAGAAGTGCATTTGTTATACTCCTTGGGATGTAACAAAAGGCATATTTCTTATTAACTTTCAGCGCAACGCTCAATTTATTCGAAACTATCAAGACCAATATTGGCATTGATATCTATGTGCTAATATCATTGTCAAATATCAGTAGCTACTTTCTATCATGTTTCTTATCATCCGGTTTCTCTCTTCATTCTTACATTTCGGCCTTTTTACTTCGTCCATCTTACCGATTATTCAACTCATTCGTTGATAATTTCTTGAATCAACCATTCTCTCTTGATAGCCGAAGATTTTTTCACTATTGTTTACTTTACAACAAGACAACTTCCTGTCTAGTAATGTGAAAGTTGACGGTATCCAGGATCACTACTGCCGTGAGACAAACGCCCATAAATTACAAGATATGATAACTGCGAAATCGACCATAATCATCTCGACTGAGTGGCGAGACCATCACGAATTCGACATTACCAAGTACCTAGAATCGTAAAGGAACAACAAGTGAGCGAAAAGAAATCAATCGGTTAGTACAGGCCCGTCACAGAGATGCTCTTTATCAAGTATTTATGCTATTCTAGATTTCAACAACTTCAGCAGTTCTACAAAATGAGCGAAATAGAACACAGGACGAAATACAGTGCAATGATGATGGAAGTATGCCGTTGATGTACGGTTCTGAATGATTACAAGAATAAAGGGAGCATGTTGTACAACTGCGCTTTGCAGAAAACCTGTGTGTAAAGTTGAACAGAACCTCATACCCAATAAAGAAGGTCTAAAAATGGAATAAAGTCATGACAATATGAATAAAGACGAAAAACTATCCTCAAGTTGGATTTATACTGACTGGACAAAACTTGTTTGATCAGCTCCAAAAATACCCAGGTTATACTCTAAAGGAGCAAAGATTATGAAAAGTTCAACAGTTTAGGTGTGAAAGTGTTTATTATTGTGTGTCAATTAAAGGCAAATTTGGGTGGTAAATTATCTCGTTGAGTTTTTGAGAAGAACGCTACAGTGTCAAGGTTTTATGGTTTTGTATCCGTTTCTTAGGTACGTTGTTTTCTATGGAACTCTGCAATGCGTCATGATTGTGAAAATCTAAAGGATAGAATTATATGAGAATAAACGAGCTAATAGCTCAGGATACGCATAAGAAACACTTATGTTTAATCCCGATCAAGCTTAATGTAAATAAAGGCGATTTTCTAGGATTTAAGGCAATATCTTCTAGTGAAATTTCATGTAAAATTTTGTCAACATGCAACAATTTTTTCATCCTATTACTTTTTCTCGGATAAATAACGAGATTTCCACCTTAACTAATTTCTCGAAATTCGTATCTTTAGCATAAATTTTCTCCAGATTTCTTTTTACCGAGGAGCTTTCCTAGCACAGTCGTGATTGCAGTGAAACAATAAATCCCTTAAACCAGTAAATTCATCCACTCAAAGTCTTTCTAGGGTTATCCGTTTAAGATATGGTATATTGACGACTGAGGAACCTATCAGTCTTTTAGAGAACGCTGCTTAGTTACAAAAGAATTGGCAGCAAAAAGCAATATTATAACAATTAGGTTATCTCTGTGATCTTAACCAACCTTTACATGCCCAATCACTTTTTAGTAAAAGGAAGTTTAAGTTTTGCAGATTAGGAGTCGGGGTAGTGTTGTGAGTTAGGACTATCACTCCTTAGAGTTTTTATTATATTATACTTTAGCCGAATATTCTGTAGTATTTAGGGATGACACTCATGAAGCCAAACAGGGTAGTAACTGAAATTAGGTTTTGATAGAGTGTGCCTTAGAATATTGGTATGGATTCTTATCATTGATAGCCTTCTGGGGGATTCCTTTGTTGAAACGTAAAATTTACTAAAATAGGTCAGAAAAACAAAATCGGGATGTAATTATGATGTCACATAAAAATAAGATTATACAGAATGTCCTTGTGATTCTAATCCCCTTTCGAAACATCTAATAAAAGTATGTTTGTCATTTTGTCAGAGTTACACTCAACTAAAGCATCACGCAACCTGATATTTAATTATTTTTAAGGTAGCAAAAACTGGGTGTTGGTCTTGGAAAATACATATGCTACGTGTGATCAAGATACTTATCTCCCGTTACTTTTTCAGCGTCGTTCTTTCGACGATCTATATGTTGATAGGCTATTAGGGAGTTTAAAGTTTCAACATCTCGGTGTCTGAAGTATAGTCTCCAATGGAATTTTACTCTTCCCGAACCGCCTAGAAGTTATATGTTTAAAATACTAGGGAAACTAGTGTTTTTCTATAAAAGAATCTGTCCTACCACTTAGGTTTTTATTTTTATCTAGATTTTGTCTTTCACTATGTAGATCGCCAAATTCTGTCTAGTATTAAGATCTAATACCGGGATCCCAATGTACGGAGGAATTTGAATAGACATTATCCCCAACATAACGCTACAATAGACTTATCAGTAAGCTACATCTAACATGCAGTTTGCTTCAGTACATGTATCTGAAGCCCTTATGTATATAATTATAATATAAATTCACTACACTTATTTTTCCTTGAAGAAATACAACTTAGGTACGCCCTCGCTAGTATACTTAGCGCCTTCCTAACACCAAGTTTTACCTCGCTTTCAGCCTGAAGCACTTTGTGTGACTGTTAACATCTTACCCTTTGTCGACTACTGATGCTAGCTCAAACCAGCCTCCAACTAGTAAAAGAATTAAAACGCTCCCAACAAAGCAAATTACCTCCTTATGGTGAAGATAAAATCCGAATTTGTTTGGAAGAAATGCGAGTACTATATGATGCAAATCATCGTGATGTAGCCCTTGTATCTAACTCGTCGTCTGGGCCATCATCATCATTATATGAAACAGATGATCATAGTAATAAAATTCAATCTGTTTTAGTCAGACATGCTATCTTGGAACGTAATAAACGTTGTCTTCTTGCCTATCACCATGCTAGATTAATGCGGATCAAAGAACTACGGTGGGAATATGGTATCATTTTACCTAAAGGTAACAGTAGTTTCGTTATACTACGCTGTATTTTTTGTAACTAATCACTTTGAAGTAGTTATTTGTACACAAAATGTCATAAGTTCATACTTGTTAGTACCTCTGCACATAATTCTTTCTAATATAGAAATGAAACAACAGAAGTATCCCTTTAGACCTAAAGCTACTATAACGTTATGATTTAATTTGGATAATTGGTAATATAACTGCTGGAACCGGATGTGTGTACGGATTCCGTTAGTGTATTTTCTGCAGTCCCAAAGCTAGTCAGTATTATCAGGGTTCATGTAGTAAATAATTCCTGGTCCATCGTCATGCTTAGCATACACTGGAACTCTGTAACGAAGTACGAATCTATGTACTCGCTTTTGGATTACAATTTGTGAGACTGGAAAGCATATATACTTCCTGACTTCCCAAATCTAAGTGAGACATTTAAAACCTGAAATTTGTTAGGATGTAGGATACTAGCAGTTTAATCATTGAGTTAAAATCGCAACAATATCTGAGTGTTTAAACCATTGTAATTGAATGGAACGTAGATTATATTTGAAATCAACAATTCCCTACCGGAAAGAGACCTCTATCCCACCAACGAAAAAAGTTTCTGTCCAGTTCTATTTACATTGATGTGAGATTCAGTAACAACGCATCAGTAATATGTAAATAAAGTCGTTTGAATGACTGCAGTTTTCTATTTAATAAACTACCGGTCTGGATAATGCACTTTTTCCTCAAAGCAAGAAATATTTTAAACTCATCATTCTCAGTCAAAATATATGAAGTGAGCTGACAAAATATTGATTAGTCATGTACATTAAGATGTTGTACGGTTGACTAATAACAGCTCAACTTGTACAGAGAGTTTTCTTTTCAGAAATTTAAAACAATTAGTTCATTTGATAAGTTTCGACAAGGCAAAGGGAAAACGAAGGTTACGAGGATTATGTGATATATTTGCACAATACATTTCGAACAATCTGAATCACACATACTTGCTAAGTCATTTTTATATGAAAACTATAAGGTCAACTAGACAGATTAATGATAAGCCGTAACAAAGAAAAATAAAGTACACAAAAACGATGTGATAACCACGCTGGATAATAAATCAGTATTACTAGGGTAGGTTAAGTGTAAGAACAAATTGTTTTTTTGGAAGACATGAAGGGGATTCCAGTTTCCGTATAGCCAAGGTTTCAATGAAACTTAGTATACGTCCTTGAAGGCACATTGATAGGATTGGACGTAAGTGGGTATTAGACCTATGAATTTTTAGTTATCCATATAAACTGGGATACACCAAACTTATAGGTCTTAATAAATTAAACTCATCTTTATTAATGGAATTCATGTTTGACAATTTAACATCTAGTCCCATCAATATGTCGGTCACGTACGCACAACCTTGCAAAATGGTTTATAGAAGTATTAAACGCTATCCGAAATCAATTTCGTAAGTATTATTTGATTGACTAATGTGGATTAATTAAGTACTTAATGGATATGAATATAAAAACAAAGACAATGAGCTCCTTTAATGTGAACATTTTATTTACAAATGTACCTCTTAGAAAAACTATTGATATTTTGTGTGACTACATCTCATTGAATAACCTTCCATTGCCATTTCCTGTGAAAACTCAAACATTTACAATTATTGTGAACTGATAATGTGAAATTCACTTTCAAGGGTGAGCACTTTCGACAAGTCAATGGCGTAGCTATGGGTAGCCCTTTGGGACGGTTTCTGGCTGATGTATTTATGGGATGTGTTGAAAATCTAGCTGAAGACTCAATTCAAAAGGTGTGTCTGTATAAAAGGTACGTTGATGACATCATAATCATAGGGGGTAAATATGAACCGTTTTTACAAACGCCTTCAAGGACGTATACTAAGGTTCATTGAAGCCTTTGCTATACGGAAACTGGAATCCCCTTCATGTCTTCCAAAAAAACAATTTGTTCTTACACTTAACCTACCCTAGTAATACTGATTTATTATCCAGCGTGGTTATCACATCGTTTTTGTGTACTTTATTTTTCTTTGTTACGGCTTATCATTAATCTGTCTAGTTGACCTTATAGTTTTCATATAAAAATGACTTAGCAAGTATGTGTGATTCAGATTGTTCGAAATGTATTGTGCAAATATATCACATAATCCTCGTAACCTTTGTCTTCTCATTGCATTTTCGAAATGGCTCAAACTCCATTCAACTCTATTTCTAGCTATAACATTACGTTGCTCGAGACAGTGATTAGTTGAAACGCATTTTAGGAATATTGGACTTCCACTTTATCTAAAAGACCCGTCCAATATTCATGTTAGTCTCAAGGTAGGTTTGTCATAATTCTATGTATTCACCTCTAAGTTTTGAATAATGGACATTTGATCTGGACAATCAAAATTCCTTACATATAAACATTATCCTTGATTTCCTTCATCAATATGTACAATACATCTTTTAAACTTAGATATCCGTGATAATTTATCGGAAGCGGAACAAGCATGGTTTAAACACTATTGTAGTTGTTTGGCAAACTTCATGCAGGCTGATGGATCGGAACGTGGAGGCGGTGGAATGCTAGATTTAACACAATATCGTACACCACCAAAATCATTATTTCTAGAAGTCCGTTGTCTTCAAGATTTTGGCGAATTCGAAACAGAGGATGGCAGTATTTTACATTTAACAAAAGGTAGTCATCATTTAATGCATCGAACCGATTGTGAGGCTTTAATTCGTCAAGGTATTCTTGAACATATAGCAGAGTGAAATGAAACTGTCATGTGCAATTATTATAATGTCCTAAAAAGGAAATTATACTGTATATATTTAAATTTGTCATGTTATTATTTTCATGCGGAAGATTTTAAACAATAAAACACCAAGGAATGGGTTACACAAAACACAATGACATCATTGTGATCATTTGGATGAGGAAAAAGTGTATGACCCGTCATTACATTTATAAAAACGGGTACGGTATGTGAAGCTATGAAAACTGAGTAATACCACAGACAAGACAGATTTCATAATACTGTTTATAAAGAATACAGTAGGAAACTACATCCAAGTCGCTTGTATTCTGAGTAGTCTAGAGACTACTTGTGTCACTGAGTTTCATGACCTGTGGGCCTTCAGTTTGCTTTTACTAATAATGTGGGATCATGAAACAAAAATCGCCAGAAGTCTGTTAGCATAAATCCGACATATAAAATATGCGTCTTAATAGGGGTGGTTTTGATGTCTCTTTGTTGATTGCCACTGGTGGATAAAGTTATCTTAGCGCCATCTTGGTTTAGTTCTAATGTATCAGAAGGGGTTTTGTGGATATTATGGTAATTTTAATACTTGAGATCATGAGTCAATTGAAGCTAGGTCACCATGGAAAACCTGGAAGTAATGGGTGGCCGTTTGATCACAATATGATTTCTAAATTGAATAAACGGATACTATGGTGATATATGAAGATGGATAATGGCTAGCGGCGGAATCCAGGACGCGTGTTTCGCCCTGTTTGGGACTTGTCAGCTGGATGTACCTGCACCTCAGAATTGATGTTCACTCCAAGGCTCGAACTCAATACCGTTCGCTTCAAACGTCATCGCGTTATCCACTTAGCTACTGAGTCCTGATAGCCACTATGGTGAATTATATTTTCAAACTAATTAGTATCCTATGATTTAGTTAATTTAGATCTTTTAAATTTTGTTTGTGGCATTAGATTATTTTAGTTTAGCCTTTATGAAGCCTCCCATATTGGTTGTACGAACTTATAAATCTTCAGTGATACTTTCAACATCAAAAATGATCTCTGGTCGTTAAATGTAATGGCAAAATAAAGTTAGTACTTCAAAACTACCAAGGCTGAGTATCTTATTTCCGAATTATACTACTTAAAAATTTTCCAAGTAGTTAATCAAGTCTACTCTGTATTTATTTATTTTGACATAGATATTGGTACAAAGGGGCACCGAATACATATGTGCCACACAAATCTCATTTGTGATGTGTGAGGGCTGTGGTACTGCCCGGGTGCCCAAACCGAAGCAGGTGGTTTTCTTAGGGGGCCACACCCGGAGCCTTTGACCTGAAGGTCTGATCCACAAGGCAATGGAGCATCGTGAGGAGATGCAATCCCATGGTAGCCGGTGACCAACGATTGGTTAATACGCCATTTGTTCCTCTAGCATACTGGAGCCCATGTGCACCATTGGTTTGGAACCAGGGTTTTCCAACTCCCCTATGTGGACTCTCTATGTCCACTAACCCAGTTAGAGCGCCAGACATTCGTTTTTCGTCCTTTCAAGTCCGTAAACAACACCCCTGCCTCGAGAAGGCAATGAGTAGGACTTCCCTAGCAGAGGCTATATACGCGCGGCCATGTGAGAGCATTTCGAGGAGAGAGGACTTCCCCTACTCTGGGCCGTACCAGGGCATTTGGGGGAAACAATATAGTATACGCATTGATTTTCTCGTAGTTTGCTCATTAAGAATTGCATTAGATTACGTAGATTGTTATTTATTAGTTAGCTGATAAGTAAGTAGTTCGAGCCATTAGAATCCGCATGCCTGACTCTTGCTATGTGGTCTAAAATAATAATAACTGACAGTATTCACTTTTAAAGGTAAGTTTCTATGGTATTAGTGAGAATCATTGTTAATATTGTTTGTCAAATATTAGATTTAAACAGAATGAAGATTACGCAATACCTGGAATATTTATGTTTAGTGGAAATCATTTAAGGTTTCATACTCGCATGAATTTTCATCGTATGCAGTTAGTTGGAAAATCTTAAGGAGCTCTTCCTAGTCGATTTTATTCAAAATGGTTATGTGAAAAAAAGTAACACAGTGATGCTCATAAACGAAAATTGACAAGTTAAATATTGTTTAGTTATGACTCATTGGTCCTACAATATAAAAGATAACTTTGAATTAAAAACGGATTAATTCTATCATAAATCGGATACTCGAGGTTTGTCTCAGCAAGTATTCATGGGACTATTCCTTATTATAAATGAATGTCTTGCATTTATACACAACTTCTTAACCAACATTCACTCACTTATCGATTTCGGTTATCCAAGTTTTCAAATACTTTTGTGTTATTATTTTGCATATAAACACGTTATATTATTAGATAAAAAATCTATTCCCCTGGCTAGTGGCTTTACTTTTGATATCAGTTCATTCTAAGGTTTTAGTCAATAAACCAGTATTGAGAGTACCCGTTAATACTTCAAGCATCCGTATCCATGTAGACACTAATCTTATACAAATAGAATACTATAGTTCTATTTATGGAATGGTGATCTACAGTGCTGAAAATAATCTTTACTAAATATATTTGCATGTGAGCGGCCTATGCTCCTTCACGAGGAGTAACAGGCGTAAGTAAGTAAGTAAGTAAATATATTTGCATAACCAATCATTTGACTACTCGTCGAATTGCATTCGTTTTCTCAGGTTTGTTATAATAGACCCACTGAAAGCTGTTCATTGACCTTCGTAAAAGCAGGAAGCACTTGACTATTATTTGATTACACCAAAAACCAGAATGATGTTAAGCACTTGGACATTATGACTATCAACTGTAACGCATTAATAAATCGATCGATAAAAGTTAGTCAAAATAAAAGAGCATTGTTTTTTTTTAAATCGAATAGATATGTCAAATCAACCTCATTCAGCCATCATGACAGTAAACATTGATTTCAAAATTGACTTAAAAACTAAGTTGATAGTGTTTTGGTCAACATTTAGAAATAGACAGTATGATGTGGATTATTTGATACTAATGAATAAATTCGGAAAATTAATTCCTCCATTAAGAGAAGGCGCTTATACGTACCATAAACTGGTAATTTCGAATTACATTCTATAGGATGATTTTGTTGTTGAAAATAACAAAATTTGTAGCAAAAGTGAAGTAAACAATATAAAAGACTGGACGTAATGCTCTCTACTTGTGAACTATCATTTCATAATGCTCTGCTCACAAAATAGGACATTTCATGGTTTCGTGTGATACTAATAAGTACGGATAAATAAATAACACTGCTCAAAAAATCCTCTTTCTGGAGACTCAGAGTGCTGTTGCAGCCCTATAATAAACTACACTACCAGATAATATGTTGAGCCCAAATAAATGTTATCACAAACCAACAGGAACTGGAAAACCAAGAGCGAAGACCTCTTACATTGGAGCACCATATTAGTGCACGCCGACGACATTCAAGTTGTTGGGACTTGATGTGGGAACCGGAGAGGTGAGTGGCTACCAAAAGGGGTCATGATGTGAAAGTCGTGTGAGGCTAGTGTTTGTCATCTCTTCAGGACTCTTTGTTTAAAGTCCTAGAGGTCGCGCAGCTCTGACTTGAAGCGCTATCAGATGTGGTTCAAAACATAAGCCAATAGTAATTCTGCTACAATTTTCTTACGTATTTTTCATAAGGACATGAGAAACCCAACCGAAAAAACCCTTTGAGATGGTGGAGAGGATTTGTAGCTCAGGTGGATGATTTTGGTGGAGTTTTGTTCTCAGAGAACAAAACTCCACCAGAAAAACCCTTTTATTGATTATTTCTCGCTGAATTTCATGTTATTAAATACAGTTCTTTTTCATTCATTTATAGATTGTACAATCTCTCTCCCTTCTTGTTCATAATATTGTCATTTAATTTGTGCGGAGCATACCTTTCCAGCTACCTACCATACCGAACTTTTCAGGTCAAGAAGAAAATACGACGAACTACTGGGTCAGGTTCACACTTTCCTATTTTATCAATTTATGAAACAGCATCATCTTCATGCATTACATGTGCCTAACCACTGTATACCTCAGGAGGCGATGATATATGGTGGATGAGTAGGCTATCAGAAAACTAGAATAACCCAAATCAGAACGTGCTATTAATCCATGGAGTCATTGACAGCTGAAATAAGTTAATGTAAGGTGTAGATCAATCAGTCAGGATCCATACGATGATTGGAACTAGTGATTGACTGTCCGATGACATGGCACAAATGTATTCACTTTCATAAGAAGAAGTTTTTCTCTGAAATTAGGCTTTTACATTGTTATTTGTTTAACAAAAACAGAGAAACGAGAATAAAATACAAGATTATAAGAATACAATGATAAAAGAGACAATTTAAAAAGTAACAAAAAGTAAAACTTGATATCACAAAGTTATTTAAATCTATTAGATATGTAGTTTCCAAGTGAGAATATCATCGTTTTAGTAGAATATCAATGTCCTTGAACAACTACCATAGTGATATACCATTTACCTAACTTGCCTCAATATAAATATGCTTATGAGTATAATATTGAAATGAATGAAGATTATAATAGTCGGAAAGCTTTGATGATCTCCAATCATTTTAATGACAAAAACTAGATGAAATGACATAATAAAATAAGTGATATTTTACGGAGAGAGGGATAGAGAAATAATACTTTGATAAAATGATCGCTTATGTATTGGTATAATGAATTTATATGTAAACTGTAATCTTACATACTGCTTCACATTCTTCTTTGGTTAAAAAATTATTTTCATTTGCATCACAACCACCATAGATGAATTCTTCACAGATTGTTTTTTGTGGATTCCAACCCCAACGATGAAGTTTTGCACGACATTTACCAGTTAATCTTGGTAATAAACAAATTGGATTTAGTGAATCGTGCACTAAATAAATGTGAAGAGATAATGAGGAAATAATAATTAGGGAATGAAAATCAAGATAGACACGAAAAGGAATAGAAGTATTTGATTATCAGGCTTTCCTTTCTTACTGTTATATAGACTTATGCAACAGATTGACAAAGCTATGTTTTAAAAAAAAGGGATAGTTAGGAATCAGACGAAATTTCACAGTTTAGTGGCTTGTTGATTTACACGATTTCATAAACTACCTTGTATTAAACTCATAAACCTTTTTATTAAAAATTACAGAACATTGTGAATTAGGGAAAACCAATACACTTTCAACATTTAAATAAATGAAATTCATATTCGAATATTCCTAACAATCAAGTCAACGGGATATCCATACTTGACCTTTGCTTTTTCGAAGTGAGCTCTCCAAGGAATTCCTGTTGTGAATTTTTGATATAAAGTAAAATTCCTCCTCTTACTAGATCATGTGTTCAAACATATTCTCCATAAAGTACCAAGCTCCTATCAGACCTTAAAGTTGGTACTTAATATGAATAAACGGTTTTCTGAATACATATACAACAGATGATGGCTGTTATCTGTTGCTTGGGTTGAGTGGCGAAGATATAGGTTGGTCTAACCTACAGACGTAGGTTACAATTACATATAAACACCTGATCTAAAATCCAAGAAACCTAACTTTTACCCCATAAGAGGTGCAGTGAGTGAGGAGATAGCAAGAAACAACAATGGGGAAGTGTATATCCTTTTTTTACTTTACCATTTGATGAGGCTGAGCTCACGCTATTATGGATAGAACTCCGTTCAGAAAGAGCTTATTTGTCTTTTGAATCTATGGGTATACTTACATCAGCACAATCACGAAATCTGATGTCAAGTCTTTAGATATACTCCATCTCCACATTAGTTGGGCGGGGCTTGATGAATGACCACTGCAAGATATTGTATCTCAGTTTGATAGACAAAGTATACATTATGGCACAAGATCAGTTTTAGCTGATAAATCCTGTTGCTCGATTCGAAATATGGTTCGGATACTAAATGCTGTAACATGTAGTTTGGGATATTGGCGTGCTAACTATTTATCAGATACATATCCAAGAATTCAGTTGTCCGACTTTACCCACAATCTTCAGATTAATTGCTTTTGGTCAGACCACTATCTTATTAAACTGACTGGCATGATAGAACACGAAATGTTCCAACAAATCCAGCTTGACTAGTTCTTCATGACAGGCAAGCTTGAACTCAACATCAGGGTAGTGGCTAGGGTTTCGAGATAAAATAATATTACATGCGAGCTCTAAGATTCGAAGGGAATGGATCGTGTATTGAAAGGTCCTGCCAATTTTTTGTCAAGAAAATCGTATTCTTCACAACGTTCCACTTTGTGAGAGATGCGAAACAGTGAATAGCTTAGAAGATGGTTCAACGTGGAAAGCATGTGAATATCATAGCCATTGCAAAAATTTTATTTATTTGAACACATAAATACTGGTACAACAGGGCGCCAAATATACATGCGCCACACAAAACAATGAGAATTCGAAGAGAAAAAAGGTAAGGAGCGTAAAAATAAGAACGATAACGAACAGATTAGCGCAAGGTACTATAAAAAAAATAATAATAATAATAATGGGGGAAACGGAAAGGTACGATCAGAAGAAATAAATGATAATGTCTACAGGGAATAGTGTACCATAATTTTATTTATTTGAACACCCAAATATTGATACAAGGGGGTACGAGATACATAAGCTCCACATAATAACGGTGAGGTTGTGAAAAGATACAGAATGGAGGGTATAATAAACGAAGAACAACAATGAACATAAATTAGTGTACAAGAGTGAAATAATAGTAATAATAGGAGAAACAGATAACAAAAATACAACCAGAAAGAATTCTTTCAGTCAAAAAATCTACGTCCATTTTTTATGAAGTAAAAGAAAATTACAGCAGCATCGCTATGGCTTCTATTTTGAGCCATATCTGATAACAACTCTAGCCACTGTGTAGCACCATCTCTCAGACCCCAACCAGGGAGTCGTGAAGGACCGACAGAAGCCAGTCTTTTGCAGCTTTCTTTCATGCCACGACATCTTGTCATGCACTGACCACCTCTCCGCTTCTTCCAACCAGTCCCAGAGTCAGCAAATAATGCACGACGTGGAATTCTCTGGGACGACATTCGTAGAACATGTCCAAGCCACCGAAGTCGGTATTTCAAGATGGTGACACCAATTGAATTATCATCTCTGTGCCCGAACACACGATGCCGAACTTCTGCATTACTGACATGGTGTTGCCACTAGATGTCAGCAATCCTTCGGAGACAGCGATGACCGAACACAGAGAGTTATCTAACGTCCTCGACTCGGAGAGACCAGGTTTCACAAGCATAGAGCAAAACTGCTCTCACCGACGCGTTGTAGATCCGACCTTTTACAGCCAGACTAACATCACGAAGGCGCCAAAGATGGCCCAGATTGGCATAAGCCACTCTGGCTTTCACTATTCGTGCATTGATCTCATCACTCACACCCCCACCAGCACTTATGCAGCTACCCAGATACACGAACTTCTCAACTACGTCTATCTGCTCACCATCCAGGGTGAGTACAGGATTGGAATCCTGCCAGTCTTGTAGAAGTACTTTGCACTTCGAAGGTGCAAAGCACATACCATGCCTACGGACACTGATTGCCAACTGATTAAGTGCGGATTGCATGCCTTGGGCATTATCGCACAGTAAGACAGTATCGTCCGCATACTCAAGGTCGAGAAGTCTTTCTCCAGGCAACAGATCCACATCGCCATTACTTACATCCATCAGAGCTGTTTCCAGAATGTTATCGATAGCAAAGTTGGCAAAAGGGCCGGAGGTAAGTCATCTAGGCCCGGTGATTTGTAGCGCTTTAAGAGTTGGAGTTACTCGCGGACTTCCGCCTCACTTGATGGGTCAGTCGTCACCGGTCATGGAGGGCAGGACAGTCCGACCGATGTTGCCAGAGCTGCAGGCCAGCTGAACTGCCCTTCGAAGTATTCTGCTCATCGTCCAAGAAGTCGATGGATGTTAGTGATTGGTATCCCGTCATCCTCACAGATTGTTTCGCTCAAACCAGACTTCTTGCTGCCAGTGGTTCGGATGAGTTGGAAGAACTCCCGGTAGTTACCAGATGCAGCTGCTGCTTCCAGCTCATTAGCACACTCCGACCACCAACCTTCTCGGTCTTTACACAAGCTCTGCTTAATTTCATTGCGTAACAGCCTTCGTTTGTGGTCAAACTCACGGCCACCCGGAGTAGACCGATGGGCTTCGGTGAGTTGTAAGGAGCCTGAAGAAACCCAATGCTTATAAGCAGGACATTTCGCGAAGCTTCAAGCGGCTTTACTAGCCATTTTCATGGCGTCATGAAGTTGCAACCAATGCTCGTCTATACTTTTCGGTGGGATGGTAGCTAGCCTAGAAACTAGCTCGGTTCGATACTTACTAGCAACAGAAGTTGAAACCAGCTTCCTGACATCAATCCTTTGGTGGCGGTCACTTCGTTGGCCACTGAAAAGTAAGGTAAGATTGGCGCAGACCAGGGCATGGTCAGAGGCCAGATAGGTACTCCAAAAGGAGTGGCGGTCTTGTACACAACCACGCCGGCGGTAGCTGATTGCGATGTGATCAATCTGAGTCCAGGCTTGAGATGCAGAGGGAGGACGCCAGATGGCATATCGGTGATGACTGTGCCGAAAAAGTGCTAGCCAGAAACAGGTTGTGGTCTGTGCATAGTTGCAGTAGACGGTCCCCGATATCTGTTCTGCGACCAACAAGTCCTCATCAGCCTCCTAAACGACTCTTTTCTGTGCCTAGACGCCCGACCTGAGCATTCAAGTCTCTGGCTAGTACTACAATATCTGTCGAACGCACTTTCTGGAGAAAAACAGATAATTGGTGGTAAAACTCATCCTTGATTGCATACGGGCA